GACAAGCTACTGGCTAGAAGAACACCTTTGGAAACCATATCTCTGACAAGAATCTACTAACCAAATTATGTGTCAAACTTTGAGGACAATAAGACAAATAATCCAATCATAAAATGGGCAAAAGATTTTTATTTGAATTTAAATTTAAATCGCCACTAAACCCATGAAAAGATGCTCAGTATCATTAACCATCAGAGAGATGCAAATCAAAACCACAAAGGAGATACCATTACACTCCTACTTGGATGGCTAAGATTTAAAAACAACAAAAAAACACAAAAGACAACAAACATTGGAGAGGATGTGGAGAAACTGGAACACTTATTCGTTGCTGATAAGAATGCAAAATGGTACAACCACTATGGAAAACAGTAAGATGAGTCCTCAAAAAACTAAAAATAGAATTGCACTATTTGTTGTTGTTGTTAAGTTCCATCAAGTTTGTTCTGACCCATAGTGACCCTGTATACGGTTTCCGAGGAGAGGCTGGTGGGTGAGCTTGAACCACTAACCTCAAACCAACTTTCCAGTACAGTTCATAGGATTGCACCACGTTGTTGTTGTTGTTAAGTGTCATCTAGTCAGTTCCAACCCGTAGCGACCCTGTATAGGGTTTCCGAGGAGTGACTAGTGAGCTTGAACTGCCAACCTTACAGTTCAAACTGACCTTGCAGTCCAGTGCATTAACCCGCAGCGCCACACCAGGACTCCAGGACTATACCATATGGCCCAGTAATTCCACTCCTAGGAATCATATGTCCCAAACTTGAAACCAAAGACTCAAAAAGAGACTTGTACAACAATGTCATTGCAACACTATTCCTGATAGCCAAAAAGGTGAAAACAGTCTTATACCCATCAACTGATGAGTGGATAAACAAAATGTGGTACATACATATCATGGAATATTACTTAGCCAGTAGGAGAAATGAAGTCTTGATACAGGCTACAGTAAGATGGAGCTGAAGACATTATGCTGAGTGAAAAAAGTCAATCACAAAAGGACACATATTGTATGACCCCACTTAGATAAAAAGCAAATGTACAGAGACCAAAGTTTACTAAGAGTGGGAAGGAGGGGGGAAGGAGACTAATGATAGAAAAATCACATTGATTAACGGTAAAATTGCACAGTTGATTATTGTCATTGCTGTCAATAAGTTGTACATCTGTAAAAAAGTTCAGGTGGCAAAAGTTGTATGCTAGATGTATTTACAACAATGTCCCAAAAAAGAGAGTAGCTAATGAGGTTGCTTATGTATAACCACACATCTCGTGGAATTTAGTTCTTTGATCTACAGGCTTAGGATCATGTTTTCATGGGATATCACAGGAATGTGTTTAGTGCTTCTGGTCTACCTCCTAGCTCCTAGCATAGTGCCTGAGGCCTTAAAAGCTTGCAAGTGGACTCAAAATGACCCCATAGGACAGAGTAGAACTGTTCCTTAGGGTTTCTGAGGCTGTAAATCTTTACAGAAGTCAACTGCCTCATCTTTCTCCCATGGAGCTGCTAGTGGGTTTGAACTGCTGACCTTTCGATTAGCAGTAGTCCACTTAGACTATTCACCTGAAACAATGGAGGATTAAGAAGAGTCAGAACAATAGGAGGATAAAGAATGTGTGGCTAATTGCCTCCATAAACAACTGCCTCCTTTGCCACTGTGCCCAGAAGAACTGGATAGTGCCCAGCTTCCATTACCGAACATTTTAGTCAAAGATTCCATAGAAGAAATACTGATCAAAAGGGGAAAAATATAGACAATAGCTTCAAATTCTCAGGGATTCTAAACTTTCTGGAGCCAGGGAGGGTGAATGAGCCCTTGAAACTATTGCCCCGAGATAATCTTCAAACCTTAAACCAAAAGTATCCCCTAAAGTTTTCTCAAAACCAAACAATGGTTTAGCTTAGCTAGTAAAAAAGACCTGCCTTGAATATTCATGCTTTTTTAAGAACTATCTACATGGGAATTAAATTGACAATAGTTACTCCAAAGATTAGATTGAAACATTAGGGGACAGAGAACGTACGTTCATGAGTGAGGAACCGTGCTGAAAAGGAGGGAGAGAATGATTGATTACACAACTCAAAGACCATCATCAACGTCACTGAATTGTACATGGAGAAACTGTTGAGTTAGTGTTTGTTTTGCTGTGAATATTGTCAACAACAAAAAAAGAAAAATGTGAAGAAAACAAATCAAGTTAGAGGAATGAATGACAGAGAGGGAACAAGGGAGTGATGAGACATGGTAATCAGAGGACCGTGCAGGGTGGAACTAAGATGCTCAACAGACACTTGTTAAGATAAACAGACTCTAGAACTGAGCTACCAATCATTGACATCTGTCTGTACAATTTGTAGGAAGCCCTGGTGGCATTATAGGATAAGCACTGAACTGCTAACCACAACGTCAGCAGTTCAAACCTACCAGTCACTCTGAGAAAGAAAAAGGAGGTTTTCTACTCCGGTAATGATTTACAGCCTCAGAAACCCTATACAAGGTCAGTATGAGTCAGAATCGACTTGATGGCAGTAAGGTTTGGGGTTTTTAGTGTCCAATTTGTATCCCTTCTGATTTTCATCAGTGTTTAACTGTGGTGATTCAGTGTTGGATGGAAGCAGGAAGTCATGAGGCCTAGTTGCTCAGGGTAAGGCAGAGAATAAGAGGGAGGCTGAGGAAACAGAAAGTCTTTGTGGAGAGAAAAGGGATTGATAGGGGACACCTAAGGAAGAGGAGGGGCAAGGTAAGGAAACTAACAAGGGAAATAAAAGGAAAGAGAAGAGGTTAGTTTGTGTATTATCAGAAAGGAAGGGAAGGTAGGAGCTTTCATGGGCTCCCTATGACTTTCAGCATCCAAATGATATTGCGTCCAGCACCAGGGTGTACCTCTCATTCTAAACACAAGGAACGACTCTGGTTCCTGGAGACTATCTCCTGGTGCTTCATACCTCCATACATTCCCTTGGAATTACTCCCATGAGTTACATCCACTGTCTCATGGAGCTCATTTTAACATTCTTCAAAGCTCTGCTCACAATGACCTCACCCCAGAAGCCTTAGGAGACTCCACAGCTCTCGTCCACTCCCCAAGCACAGAACAGGGTAGCGTCCAGTGGTTGATGATTTCCTGTCTTTCTCTTCTTAGATGATGACCTTCCTGCTGGTAGAAACTAATTTATTTCATTTTAAAGCTCCAATGCCAAGTTCAAGGCTGGCCAAAGATGCTACATAAACATTTGCTGGAAGGAATTTCAGCAAAAGAATCCTTACTGAATTTTTAAATCCTGAATCAAACCTAGTGCTACCTCCTTCACAGGATATGTAATAATAGAACTATTTTGAAATCATGAAAACACATGCTGTTTACTGACTCTACTCTAATTCCTCAAGGATATGGGTTTTTTTTACTCTTGGATTGGACTCAGTGGGTTCCTACAAATTGGGATCATATAAAGATTGGCAGTTGCCAGAAGGGGTTAGGGATCCAGCTTGTACGGGTTCAGTTACTTATGTTATCACACATCAGTCGTGTGATCTTGCATAAGGTCCTTTCCTTTCTCAGTGTCTCCGTTTCCCCATTCGTAAGATGAGGACAAAAATCATACCAGTATCACTACGCTATTATGTGGATTATAGGAGTTAATTAATAAAGCGCATAAAGGTGTCCCTAGTACTCGAGACACCTGGTGTGTGGCGCTGTGGGTTAATGCGCTTAACTGCAAAGTCGGTTTGAACAGCAAGGTCAGCAGTTCAAGCACACCAGCAGCTCCTCAGAAACCCTATACAGACTGGGTCGCTATGGGTCGGAATCGATTCCACGGCACATAACCACCACCACTCGACGGCATTTTAACAACAAGTACTCAAGAAGCTCACATGCTCTTACATATTATTATGATATGTGTGTCTTTGATCAATGTTATTGTTGTTAAGTGCCGTCGAGTCGACCAAGGAACAGCTGGTGAGTTTGAACCACCAACCTTGCAGTTCAAACGACTTTGCAGTCTGACGCATTAGCACACAGCGCCACATCAGGACTCCAGTGTTGTTATTAGGTGCCATCAAGTCGGTACCCACTCACAGTGACTTTATGCACAACAGAACGAAACACTGCCCGGTCCTGCGCCAACCTCACAATCGTTACGCCTGAGCTCACTGTTGCTCCAACTGTGCCAATCCATCTCGTTGGGGGTCTTTCTTTTTTTCGCTGACCCTCCAGTATGACACCTCTATTATAATCACTCATTAGAAGTCGATCGCGGCAGGATCGACTAGTTGAGTTCACCCAGCCCTGCAATCTCCCTCGGAATCCATTCGCAGCAGGGCGCATTTCCTTCCCCTCCTTGCATCAGACCCGAAAAGCAATGAGAGCAGGCAGGGAAACCCAAGAAGGCTTCCTTTCACGCAAGTATCCCCGTCTCGGACCAGCACCACTGGCATCACTTCGGAACTCATTAAAACGGATGAGTCAGACCTACTTCCGTGGGTCGGTAGCTCCAGACCTCCGAGGGCCCCCATGCCGGCAGGACCCGAATGTCGGACGGGAGCCTACAAGGCACTCAGGGCACGCCAGTGGTTTCAGGTGCGGGGCAGGCGGCCGGCTCTTGGCTGAAACTTGAGGAAAGACCCAGGTTGGTAGCGGTCAGGTAACCCAGGTGACCGGTCAGTCGGGCCCCGGCGCCACCTGACGGCCAAAAGTAGAACCTGCCCTTTCCCCGCTAGGGGAACGCCCAGGAGTGAAGATCTATCTAGTGGGGCCGTCCGCCCCCTCATCTCCTATCGAGCAGTCAAATGCCGAGCTGTCCCTGCCATTCGCTCTAGGACAACCCTTTCCAGAGACCTCAGCGGTCGAGCGCAGACCTCCAAAGCCGCCGGGAAGCGGGACTTTGCAGTCCCTTGCTGTTTCCCTCCGAGGCAGTAGGTGTCACTATTCATCAATTCCCCAATTTCTTCTTAGCGTTCAAACTCCGCGCTCCTCTCGTTACAATTGATATCGATCTCGCGAGATCTCTTGGAAACTTAGAGAACCGGAAAAAACTTGTTGCTCTTTTCTCTTTTGCGGCCATCGCTGAAGCGACAGCGGGTGAGAGGGCTCGCCGGGAAAGCGAGCATAATCCGCTGCCATCCTTTCCTGACTACCGTGACCCTCGTCCCCGGGGACTATGAGACTTACCCAGAGGCCGAATAGCAGCCAAATGGGGTGCCGGAAAGGCCTCTGCTCATTTCCCCCCTAGATCAGAAGCCACCGGGTTGGGGAAGGGAGGCAAGACTGGGAATATTGGAACTCAGAAACTGGAGGATAGGATGCCTGTCGAGATGGAGTCAAGTTTCGACAGTGTAGTTTCCGGTGGAATACAAAAAGGTCTTGAATAACTTATAGGTAAAGCACTCATGGAACTTCCAGACGGCGCTTGCCCATTGTAACATTGTAAAGCTTTCTGGATACAAGAAAACTTAGCGTTTTCCAGGTTCGGGCCGGAAGAACTTGACTATTCATTTTGGAGAGGGCTAAATATGAGCACGGGGTCCTGGTATGCCTGTAGAATAGGCACTGGATTACCAACTGCAAGGTCAGCGGTTCAAACCCACTAATCCCTCGGAAACACTATATGGGGTCATTATGAACCGACTTGTGGGCACTTGAACAACGAATAACATGAATGCACAAGTCCATTAAAACGTTGATTGCTCCATTTAAAACAATTGAGTTGTCTGTCTACTATCCCCAAATTCAGTTGGAATATTTAAAAGTCCGGTATTAACTGGCACAATACTCAAAGGAATTTCAAGAGTGTTAAGTAGCTAGCAAATGTGCTGTTAACAGAGAAGCCTTTATACCATGAACAAATATAAAAAATGCTATAGTAAAGCAAAATTTTAGAAATTTCAAGCATCAGTTCATAGGCCATTAAGGTCCATACGGTTTTTTTTTTTTTTTTTGATAGATTTAGAGAATATGACAGTTTGTGAGTATTATAAACTTCCAAGTTGACATTTTCTTGAAAAAAAAAAGGTTGTCTCTGTTTGAAACAGAATGTGATTTTTGGTGATTTGAAAGTGTATACATCTTTTCACTTAGCCGAAATGAAGTTCAATCCCTTTGTGACTTCTGACTGGAGTAAGAACTGTAAAAGGCACTTCAATGCACCTTCCTACATTTTCAGGAAGATTATGTCTTCCCCTCTTTCCAAGGAACTGAGACAAAAATACAATGTTCGGTCCATGCCCATCCGAAAGGATGATGAAGTCCAGGTATGTGCCCCACTGTGTTTCCACTTTTTCATGCTTTAAATTAGTTTTTACCTGCCGGAAAAGTTTTTAGAAAATGGATTGTTTTCTGAGATTGTAGTGTCTGAGGTGTTTTCTCAGAAACGAAGGATTGCCAAGAGGAGTTGAGTCAGAGACAAAAAAAAAAAAAAAAAAAGTAAGCTGCTTTTCAATTATTTTACCTTTCCCCTTTGGTGAAAATCAAAGGCTATAATAAAATGAGAGAACAAGAGATACTTCAGAATAGAACACAGTTTTCAGTTATCCTTTGCAGGTGCACTGAAGAAGCTCTGAGCCATTCAAGGGTCAGGAAGTGAAGCACTGGACTGCAAACTTCAGGGTCAGGGTTCAAATCCCTTAGCAACTCTTCAGAAAACTATACAGGGTCGCTGACTCAAAATCAACTTGATGGCACTTAACAAGAAGGAACCCTGGTGTGGCACTGTGGGATAAGCACTGGACTGCTAACTGACAAGTCTGTCGTTCAAACCTGTCAGCCACTGCTCTGAAACCCTTTAAAGTCTATATGAATTGAAACCAACTCCACAGCGCTTAACAAGGAGGTCTGGTGGTGTAGTGGGTTGCACAGTGGGCTTCTATTGAACCCACCAGCCGCTCTGCTAGAGAAAGCTAGGCTTTCTGCTCCTTACCAGAACTGATTTGACAGCACCCAACACTGACAAACAGAATTGTTCAGAAGCTCTAAGGGATCATAAAATTTCATATGATTGTTTACATTTATGGGTAAATGCAACCTTCGGATCTGTTTAAATAAAATTCTCTACACATTTCCTATCTGTAACCTGTAACTAGTGATTAAAGAATTTGGGTAGTCTCCATTAAGTGGCTAGCATATCACCAACATTATTATTTTTTTTTTAATGAGACTAATGCCTGGTATGGTGCTGTGCGCTAATGCGCTAAACTGCAAAGTTGTTTAAACTACAAGGTCAGTGGTTCAAGCTCACCAGTTTCTCCTTGGAAACCCTATACAGGGTCGCTATGGGTCGGAATCGACTTGCCAGCTTAACAACAACACCTTTAGTTAAGTGCTGTCGAGTTGATTTCGACCTATAGAGACCCTGTATAAGGTTTCTGAGGAGTGGCTGGTAAATTTGAACCACCGACCTTGCTGTCCAGTGCATTATCCCACAGTGCCATACCAGGACTCCTAATGCCTTTTAAATACCAAAGGAAATCCTCCCCAAATAGGTGCAATATGGGTAAACACCCAATGCTCCCTGCTGTACTCTGCTTGTTAAAAGTTGCCAGTAATTTGGGAGGCGGTCCTCTCTGTTTGCAAAACATCTTATTGTAAGAAAAGTTTGAATGCTGGAAAGAAACATCCAGTCAAGTGCTTTGGAGGGCATCCTGGGAAACTGAGGACCCCTGGGGCTCTTGTTTAGAGACCTATGTATGTTGCTACCTACTCTCTGACATTGGATTAGACTTTAATGGATTATAAATTAAACCCTTGTAGCTTGTTCCCCTTTGAGGTCGATACCAAGCTCCTTATTGTGAATTTACTACAAAAAGTCCAGGCACCAGAGGTGGGCTCATCTATAGCCACTTAGAACCATCAGTTGCAGGAAGGGCACTGCGTCACTGTAGCATCACTAACTGAGGGGTGTGATTTATTTGTGGGTCATAACTTTTATAATTTACAGAGTTAAACCTGTCCTTTTAGTCCCTGTGTTACCATTGTTTTTAAATGTGTACCTAGGTTGTAAGAGGACACTACAAGGGTCAGCAAATTGGCAAAGTAGTCCAGGTGTACAGGAAGAAATATGTCATCTACATCGAGCGGGTACAGCGAGACAAAGCTAACGGCACAACTGTCCATGTGGGCATTCACCCTAGCAAGGTAATGTTTTTGAAAATAACTTGAAAGAAAAAGAAATATGACAAATGACGGTTGGTGAGTACAATTTTTAAATTCTAATAGTACCTTAAGGAACTCAGGTGGCACAGAGGTTACGCTCATGGCTGCTACTGAAAGATTGGCAGTTTGAACCATCCAGCAATTACACGGGGAAAAATCCGGCAATCTGCTTCTGTAAAGACAAAACCAAACTGCTGCTGTTCAGTTGATGCCAACTCCTCGTGACCTGCTAGGGCAGAGTAGGATTGTCCCATAGGGTTTCTAAGGCTGTGGTTTTTATGAAAGTCAACTGCTACATTTTTTTGTCCTGTGGAGCAGCTGGTGAGTTCACCGTGGTGCCTCCAGAACTCCTCTATATAGATTGTTGTTGTTGTTATGATATGCCATGCAGTCAGTTCTGTCTGACTCATAGTGACCCTGTACAGGGTTTCCGAGCCTGTAAATCTTTATGGGAGAGAAAGCCTCATCTCCCATGGAACAGCTGGTACTTTCGAACTGCTGGTGGTGAGGTTCGCAGCCCGATTCATAACCACTATGCTACCCAGAGCTCCTTATGGATTATAGCCTAGAAAATTCAGTGGGGCAGTTTTTCTGTTACATTGGATCACTGAGTGACTTGACAGAACCTAACAATGATAGTACCTTAGAGGGCAGGGATGGTTTGATGGTGGAGTTCTTGCCTTGTGTGTGGACATCTAAGTTCACTTCCGTGTGGATGCGCCCACTTCATGTACCGCCCCTTCCCTTCTCACAGTGGAGGCTAGTATGCTGTGAACATGTTTCATCAGAGCTTCCAGACTAGGAAAAAAGTCCTGGAAATCTTCCCCCAAATCAGCCAATTAGAACCCTATAGATCACAAAGGTCTGATTCCATCTCTTTAAGTTGAATTAAGGGGTCCTGTGGTGATGCTGTGGTAATGCATCAGACTGCAGAGTCCTTTGAACTGCGAGATCAGTGGTTCAAGCTCACCAGCTGCTCCTTGGAAAGCCTACACAGGGTCGCTATGGGTCAGATTCGACTCGACGGCACTTTACAACAACAAGTTGAGCTGACTCAGTGGCATCTGATAACAGTAAATTACCAAATCCACTGCCATAGAATTATTTCTGACTCACAGTGACCCTACGGACAGAGTACTACCCCACAGGGTTTCCAGTGCACTGTAGGATCAGCAGTTCAAACCCACCAGCCACTTCTCAGAACCCGTATACAGGGTTGCCATGAGTTGGAACCAACAAAACAGCTCTTCAAAACAACAACCTTTACTAAAGCAGATGTCCACATCTTTCTCCTGAGAATGGTGGTTGATTCACACTGAACTTCTTGGTTAGCAGCCAGCAGTTACCTTGGCTCCTCAATAGTGATCATACTTGCGTTATTTCTGAAGTCCAAGGTGTCTTTGACATTTGTTCTGTATGTATGTGTAATGTGCATTTTTCTCAAACACTGATCATCTAGCAATTAACAACATGTCTTCAATTCCAGGAAATGGTGGTGGTTATAGTAGTAGCTGGCTTAAGAATAAGCAGTTGTTGTTGTTGTTGTTGTTAAGTGCCATCGAGTCGGGTCCGACCCATAGCGACCCTGTACAGGGTTTCCGAGGGTGTAAATCTTTACGGGAGTAGAAAGCCTCCTCTTTCTCCCGCGGAGCGACTGGTAGTTTCGAACTGCTAACCTTAAGGTTCGCAGCCCGATTCGTAACCACTACGCTACCAGAGCTCCTTAAGAATAAGCAGTAGTGTAATGAAATAACAAGTAGCTCTGGTAGCGAAGTGGTTATTACAAGTCGGACTGGTAATCTCAGGGTCAGCAGTTCAAAGCTACCAGCTGTTCCGCGGGAGAAAGATGAGGCTTTCTGTTCCCATAAAGATACACAGCCTCAGAAACCGTATACAGGGTCATTATGAGTCACAAATGACTCCACGGCACATAACCACCATAATAAAATAGCAGCATTGTGGTTTAGACAGTATTACAGATACAGAGGGTAGTCAGCTATTAAAGAGTGTTCTACAACTGCAAGGACATGTAGGCTTAAGAGTTTTTCTAAAAGCTGATCATAGGCATTTTGGACCGCCATCCTAATCTTGACAACCCTGGGAAGTAGCGATTAAGCCATTTACAAATAGGGAAAACTGAAGCTCAAGTACTAAAATCCCATGGATAAAGTTAGTGTCTAAGACAGAGCCTCGTCTCATTACCTCTGCAGCAGGTGCCTCTCCTGTGTATGGTGTAGATTTTCCCAAGTTTTAATTGTTGGCAGTTAGGTGACCTCTGACTTGATGTCATAATCTCTTAATTTCTTCTCATGTTTAGAAACCATACATTTTGTGAAGAGTATTTTAAATTATAAACAAATTAAATTTAGTCCAAATGAAGGCAGCGGTCGGTGGCACCAATCTTCATGTCTTATTCTAATCATCTGACTTCAAATAGCTACCTGCTAATGATCCCAACCCAGGCTTTGCCCCTGAACTCCAGACTCAGTATTCACTTGTCTTGTTTGCATTTCAACTTGGATATCTAATAAGTACCTCAAACCTGACCTGTTCCAATTCCTGATTTAGTTTTTATCCTTGAAACATCCTCTCACAGCCTTCTACTGCTAGTGTTCTGCCCTTTGTATTGCTCAAGCCAAAAGTGGCCTTTTTGACTCCATTGGATTTCCCACTCAGCAGTCAATAAGCTTGTTGGCTCTAATTTACACTTTGTCCAGAAATGTATCGACTTCTTAACATCTAGCAAAAATCAGATAATTTGATCTAATACTCAAAACATTTCAATGACTTATCAGTAAAATCCTAAGTTCTTAGAATGACTACAAGACCTTACTTGCTCTCCCCTCACCAACCACGTCTCTGACTTGACCTTACACCACTCTCTCTCTATGCTGTAGTCAAACTCAATGTGGCTGCCAATTGGCAGCATCACCTATAACTTGATAGAATAACATTCTGTGAGGGTATGTCAAAAATTATCCACACTTTGAATTTATTTTAATCAACTTTTAGCAAATAATACATTAGTTTTTAACATAATCTTACTGCTTTTCAATACACTTTGTCCATCTGTCAACAAGTTTTCATATTCCCCTATTTTAAAATGTTTTAGATTAAGCTGCAAGCCATGAATGCACTGCTGTCTTCACTTCTTCATCAGAAGTGAATCTTTGCCCTCAGTGGACTGCTTTCAGGGGACCAAACAGGTCAAAGACCAATGGAGCAAGGTCAGGACTATAGGAAGGATTCTTTAACATCTCAAAATGCAGTATTTGCAGAGTGTCAACAGTGTGGGCAGAGGTGTGTGGATGTGCATTGTCCTGCAAGATCACAATGCCATTGGATAGCAGAATGCTGCATTTAATCCAAAGTTCATGCTTCAGCTCTTCAGTGAGCATCTCACTGTACCGAGCACTGTTGATTGGTGAACGTTTTTCCTGATAGTGTTCCAATACTAGCCCTTGAAAATCCCAGAAAACTGAAGTCAATTTTCAAGCTGATGGTTGACTTTTGAATTTTTTCTTGACCAGCAATTGAGATGTTTCCATTCCATACTCTGCTGTTTACTCTCAGGCTTGTAGTGATGAATCCATATCTTGTCACCAGAAACATTTTTTAAAAGAAACTTTTACCTTCCTTCGAGTAACAGTCCAAATTTTGTTAGCAGATGTCCAAATGATTCTGTTTATGCGCTCTTCCATGAGTTGTTTCAATACCCATCTTGAACAAACTTTTCAAAACCCAAAGTCTATAGTGGATTATTTTTCATAGGCTGAGCCTTGGCTGATCTGCAAATGATTGGTCACATGATCCACTCATCTACTCAACAGAATCATTTTATATGCATGCCCAATGTTGTCATCAGCCATGGATGTAGAGTGAGTGTGGGTAATTTTTGACTCACCCTCGTAGGTTCCCACGCCTCCTAAAGCAGAATCTGGAAGTTTAACAAATTCTCCAGTTGATTCCTATACACACTCAAGTTTGAGAAACACCTACAAAACTATTTTTGCCTCTGGACTTTCGTACTTTGTGGTTCTCTATGGGAACGTTCATCTCTTTGGTGTTTGTTCAAACATAACCTCATTTTCCTATGTGAAATAACTCTTGTTCTCCACCCTCAGCTTCCCACAATGCCATATTTTTCTCTTTTTATCACAGCCTTGGGTGGCACAAATGGTTAAGTGCATAACCACCCAGAGGCAACTCACAAGAAAGGACTGGTCATCTTCTGAAGGTCAACCTTGAAAATTCTGGAGGAATTCTACTCTACACATGGAATCACCGAATTAACTTGGCGGCAACAAAAAACATACATTTGCTTATTACTCGTTTTCTATCTCCCGGGCTGCGAACCTTAAGGTCAGCGGTTCGAAACTACCAGCTGCTCTGCGGGAGAAAGATGAGGCTTTCTATTCCCGTAAAGATTTACACCCTCGGAAACCCTGTACAGGGTCGCTATGGGTCGGAACCGACTCGACGGCACTTAACAACAACAACAACATATTTGACTAGAAGGAACACGGTAAGGTAGAATAGAGGTCAGCTGTTTGAGCCACTTTGCAGGAGAGAGATGAGGGTGTCTGCTCCCATCAAGATTTAGTCTCAGGAACCCTAGGGGGAGCAGTTTGACTCTGTCCTATAGGGTTGCTGTGAGTCCGGATCCACTGGTGGCGGTGGATTTTGGCGCGTGTGACAGCAGAGACTTTAATCAGCATACTATTATTTCCAGGGCTCCACTCAGTGCCCTCTTGTCCCTTCCCCTCTTAAAAACGAAGTCGTGTACAGCTAGATTAGCTTGTAAAACTGGAATGAGAGGAATGTTGACATTTTGCAGCACATCTTGATGGGACTCCTTACATCAAGATGCGAGAAGAGTCACGGATATTACATTGTACTTTTATCCTTTGGTAATAAAACACTGGTAAACATTTAAAGCCAGGGGTGCTATAGAGGCCAAGGAATTATATCTAGTAGTTTTGAATGAAATAATCATTTCGTTCCTAGTCATCCACTACCCTAGTTTTGGAAATGGATTGAGCCTGTGTGTTCTATTATCAGTTATTGTTTAAAGTTTGGAAATATGTTTTCTTTTTCTGCAGGTGGTTATCACTAGGCTAAAACTGGACAAAGACCGCAAAAAGATCCTGGAACGTAAAGCCAAATCTCGCCAAGTAGGAAAGGAAAAGGGCAAATATAAGGAAGAAACGATTGAGAAGATGCAGGAGTAAAATAATCTTGTGTACAGTTTCCATTAAAAACTGCAAAAATGAAGACCCCTTTTGTTTTGTGTGGTGTTTTGGAGCAGTACTGTTAGTTCTTAAACCCCTTTTGATTTGGAAAGGGAAGTTCAGGAAACATTTGCTATTTGAGGCTGGCCACTCCTATCTTGTTGGCTTGATTCCACTAATGAAGAACACTGGTGGGATAGTGTTTTGTGTTTGTTTGTTTTAACACTTAAATTTATGTTAAACACTTGTCAAAACATCACCCACCCCTTTCTTGCATTTTTCTTTGTCACTTAAATTAACAAGTCAGGCTTACAGTGGAATAATTAGGGATGCTGCTGTTACTGTCCAGTAGCATTTGAATCACTTTTTTAAAAAGTTATTCCTGATATAATAAGTTCCAAGTTCCGTGAGCTACCCCCTTTACCATCTTGATAAATGCACTGGTGGTGATAAGTGCCACGGAGCCTGTTCTGATTCCTAACAATCCTGGATGGGGTTCCCGAAGAGTGATTGGTGAATTTGAACTGCAACCCTGAGGTTAGCAGTCCAGTGCTTATTGTACAGCACCATACCAGTGGGTGCCATTTAAATAATAACTTTAGTTTGCAACCTGAAATAACAAATGATCATCTAAAATGTTAGTCTTTGACCAATTCAGAAGACTGAACAAAATGGTGTGAAGTCAGGTTAACCACCTGTCTGTCATGCACACGCTCTGATTAATGAGAACTCTGGACAGTGATAAATGGGAGAACCGTAACAGTTGAGGGTAAGAGGGAGCTGATGGACCACAGAAAGCTTGTGTTAGGCTTGCTTAGCCAAGACCACACATCCAAGTTAGACAACTGGGAGGATGACACCCCCAAGACAATTAAAAAGCCAGGCTTCCACTCAGCTGCACTGTGGGCTTCGAGGAGCTGCCCCTTGGAAGGAGCTTCCTATAGGGCTTGGACCTGCTTCCCCGGAAGAGCCTGTCACCAGGAATTGTGTGAGCCAAGCAGGCTGAAGGTGAGGTTAGCGGCATGGGTTAACAGATCGTGGGCCAGTGGGCAGAGAGATCCCCCTCCCCTCCTGATCCTGTGGCCTCTGCCACATTCTTGGCGTTTTTCCAGGTCTCCATTTCTCCCAGAAACCACACCCACCTTCACCTCCTGCCAGCTCATTCATTCTGCCCTGAGCTGGCCACTCTTCGAGTGGGGGTAACATTTAAGCCAGGTGTTAATGTGGCATTGAGGGGGCGGAAGCAGGCATGGTGGGGATGATTCTGTGGAAGTCAGGGCAGGAAGGCCTCAATCATGCATAAACCGAACCACGTGTTCAGAAATGAGTGTGAATTTATGTCTTGTGGGAGGTGCTGGGAAGAGAACACTGTTGGGTACCTGATTGGCAATTTCATTTAGTCTTCATGATAACCCATTGGGATTTATATTAATGTTCTCCTCATTTTGTACATAATGGCACTGAAGCATAAATCACACATTACATGGTAAAGTCAGAAATTGAATTTCCAAGCTAGACTTAACCAGACCTCACTACTGCCTTGCTAAAAATCTAAGTGTGATGCTGTGGGATAAAGTACTGGACCACAAGGCTGGTTTGAACCACAGGGTCAGTGGTTCAAATTCATCAGCTGCTGCTCAGAAACCCTACACAGGGTTGCTATGTGTCAGAACTGACTTGACAGCACTTGGCAACAACAAATGACAAATGTCACTGGTGGATGAAGAGTCCTGGTGTGGCACTAAAGGATAAGCACTCAACCTCAAGGTCAGTTTGAACTGCAAGATTTCTCCTTAGAAATGATTCATGACACTTAACAGCAACAACAAAGTGACAAATGTCCTTTAAGTATCTTTTGTACTCAGCTTTTTCTGCTAGAGGCCCTCCAAGGGAATAAGTTGTTAAGTGCTGCCAGTCAGTTCCAACTCAGAGCAACCCTGTATAGGGTTTCTGGGAGCAACTGGTGGGTTTGAACTGCTGACCTGTGGTTCACAGTCCAGTGCTGATTCTACAGTGCCAGAAATCACGGCCCTTATGTTCTAAGGAGTGAAGATTTACACAACCTAAATCAGCCAACTAAAAAATTCAAAGTACTCAAGTGTGTGTACAGGTAGTATGTTTTATGGAAGTTCAGAGTTGGGCGAGAGATGGCAATCAGCTGGAGTTGCTAAACATAGCAGGAAGGAGATCAATTGAGCTAGATAAGATTTGGAAGATTGGCAGAAGAACATTCCAGATAGGGAGCCGGAGCTAAGGTTCCCCAGCTGGGTGAAGAAGAGAAGATATCTGATTTCAAAGGAATCAAAAAGCTATTGGCTGAGGGCCACATTTTTTTTTGTGTTGTTTTAGAAAAGATCTGAAAACTCAGATCTCTGCAGGAATGGGCAGATAAGAAGAATTCAGTCCTAGAAGAGCTCAGGCTGCATCTAACGGGTACTGCTGCCTCTCCACTCTCCACTCCAGCCAGTTGTTTCTAGGCAAGAACACTCCCAGGGTGGCCAGATCATCCCAGGTCTCAAGAGAAGCCAACAAATCTAGATTTTTATGTGAAATCTCCCAATCTCTAAATATTGGCAAATCATTCACATTAAAAACAAAACAAAAAAAAACCCAAAACTACAGTGGACCAAGCAAAATAAGTCTATTTGCCAACTGTGGTTCTGCTTTAGATTTTCATAGTAGAGTAAGGAGCACATCTCATTTTAAAGACAAAGATTTTGTATCTCTGGAGTAGGAATATACATTTTTTTGTTCTAGTCTCGATTTAAAAAAATTTTTTTTAATCAGATGGAGGTGTGGCTGCTTCATGTGTAATCAGCTGAAGGACTCAAATAGTGGCCAGTGCAGGCACTCGGTTCCTGAGAGATGCTGGTTTAGCTAGAAGTCTGGAAAGCGTTCTTTCTGGATCTCATTAAATACCTTGTAATTTCAAGTATCTTCTGAGTATTGTGGGATGAAAGTAGGTATTCTTTGGGTAAAAAAGACCCAGGTCAAAATGATCAAAAGTTACTGAATGGAACAAACTGGTTTCTTTGCTGCAGAGCCTTTAAATTTCCATTTGTGCATAAGATCTTGAACCCAGGTTTTAAACACAGAGCATTTTGCAAATATTCCTGCTTCAACTCTGAAACACGTTTTTAACTTTCAATGAGCACATTAAGCCTTGGAAAGCCCATACAGGATCACTATGGGTTTCCCAGAAGCGGCTAGTGGGGTTAAACCATTCACCTTGCAGTTTAAACTGACCTTGTGGTCCAGTGCTTGTCTTACAGCATCACACCAAGACTCTGTTGTAAAGATTGTTGTTGTTGTTGTTAAGTGCCATCGAGTCTGTTCCGACCCATAGCGACCCTGAACAGGGTTTCTGAGGCTGTAAATCTTTATGGGAGCAGAAAGCCTCATCTTTCTCCCACGGAGCAGCTGGTAGTTTCGAACTGCTGACTTTGTGGTTTGCAGCCCGATTCGTAACCACTATGCTAATAGACACATGTTAACTAGAATGACAGGGAGAGCAAAATACAAGAAGCAGGAAGGCAATATACAAGAAGTGGGAGCTTGGC